GAGACATCCAGATAATGACGTGCTCAACAGGAATGGGGAAACCCAAAGAGAAACTGATTTGTGGAGGATGCTGATGGGTCTGACTTGGAACCTACGGAGGCTGAGGTTCTAAAGGAGCAACGTCCAAGGGTGTCTTCACCCCCTGAGGCAGCAAGTCCTCAGCGCCCATCAGGACCTCCTGCAAAGGAGAAGGGCAGTGGAGCCAAGGGTTTCACAAAGAAAGGCATCAGCTGACAGGCAGGAGGCATCCTACTCTGAGCCAGGGTCCGTGCTGTGAGCCTTACCTGCATCATCTCATTTAATCCTCGTGACAACCCAGTGAAGCTACCTCTCTTTTTAACCTCATTTTATAGAGGAGACTGGGGCTCAGAGAGAGGAAGTGACTTGCCCAAGCAAGCTCACACTGTTCGTCAATACTGGAGCCAGGACTGGATCCCGGATGAATGGACCACATGCACGCCACAGCGATGGGTGAGGCTGAATCTTCCCCATCAATCTTAGTGAAGACAAAACGTGAGCCTGACAGAAAAGCATGGAGAACATAAGGCTGTAAGGTACTGTCCATATCTATCACGGTGATGATGACAACAATGGTGACGATGAAGAAGCATCTGTAAGAACTGAGAACAAATTTCTTCCATTTCATTTGACTTTCAGATTTCTTTGTTGTTAGATTGTTTCTGCCAATTAACAGGAACAAACAAGGCAGAAAGGAAAAAATGAACAGCACAGCCCCTTTGATGGCATCTATCCCAAACCGTGTCAGAGAACAGGTCTAATTTTGCTTTTCATTGGGCCCAGGGGTCCCAGCCTGGTGTCTAGCCCAGAGAAGGTATTCATTAAATATTTGCTGATGAACAGCTGAATGGATGGATGCCACAAGGGTTGGCCATACTTAAGTACGAGCTTCCCCTCCCCACTCCAAAGGTGTCTGCTTTCCCTGGGCTGCGCTACCCTCAGACAGCCCCTGGGAAAAGACCCACCAGCCCACAGCCTAACTGGCCCACCCGCTCAGAGCCTAGCCCTGGGAGGGAAGCTTTGGGTCACCCACCCTGTACCACGGCTCCCTGGACCTCTGCTTACCCTTCAGTCCCTGAAGAAGCCAGACCCCACTGCCGAAAGGCAGATTCCAGCCAGCGTGGCTGCCCGGGAGCTCGGAAGGGTGAGCCCTCCCCTCTGGAATGAAGGGACTGTAGCTATGAACCTCAATTAAAAAAGAAGCCACGAGGTGGCCACAAAGGCCAGCTTCTTCCTCTCCAGCCATCAGACTCCCGGCTCCTCTCGAACCCTCCTTACAGCCTAGAAAAGCAGGGCGGCTGCAGCTTGCATTCCAAGGGGTTTCTGCGGCTTTGAACCTGAGCCCACCCCGACAGAGGACTCCACCCAAGGAGGATGCTGTGCCAGGCACTCAGCTGAAAGGAGAGGCTGGTGGAGGGTGACGTTGAGTACTGGTAATGACCTTTGCTGTGATGATTACAAAATGACACCTGTTACCTGTAGAAAATGTAAGGTGAAAGAGAAGAGTTATGTCAGGAGGAAAATTAAAATGGCCATAATCCCACTTCTAAGAGACAGCAGTGCTGGAACTTTGCTGCATTTCTTGCAGACTTTTCCTGTGTATGTGTGTCTGTTTCTTTACATTGTTTGAATGGGAATCCTTCACAGAATACAGCTTAGAAATCTGTGAGCGTGTATAAAGGAGAAGCCAGACCCCGTCTCCAGAACATTGCTTAGCCCTCCCTACTCCCATTTTTTGGCAGCCAAGAAAGATGAGGGGAGCTCCAGAATTATGGTTGGACTGAAGGTGAATGATGCTTGATACTGAAGTTCTGGCCACCCTGACAAGTGGAGGTTTGGAGTGAGATTTAACTTGATTAAGAAAAATAAAGAAATATGACATTTCTTACACCCATGACCTGGAGTAAAATTCATACCAGCTGAATGGATGGGTGGATTGACAGATGGCAACTTGGATAGCAGGCAAAAGGGAGAGAGCGCAGCAGAGAGAGGAACAGAAAGGAAAGAGAGACACACATATATGCTTGTAAGTGCACAGAAAATTCTAGAAAGGTATTTAGAAATTGTGAAAGGTCGGTAAAAGTGGGTATTTAAATGGTTATTTGAGCAGGCTCTACACTGATCTGAATATTTTACCATGAACAAGCATTGCTCTCATAATTCTTAAAACATGTGAAATAAATTTCCCACCCTAAATGTTATAAATACGTTAGGTTGGGAGGTAAGAGGGGATTAAGGCTGCAGGTGAAATTCAGGTTGCTAATCAGCTAACCTTGAAATAGAGAAATTCTCCTTATTATCTAGGTGATCCCAGTGTAATCACAAGGGTCCTTAAAATCGGAAGAAGGAGGCAGAAGAGAGTCAGAGAAAGAGACAGGACGATGGGAGATGAGCCACAAGCCAAGAAAGGTGAGTTTCTCTAGACACTAGAAAAGGGAGGGAAACCAACTTTCCTCTGGAACCTCCAGAAAGGGGCGCAGCCCTAGACACCTTGATTTTTGCTCAGTGAGACCCATGTCAGACTTCTGAGCTGATCCAGCCCCCCTTTCCCTCCCTGCACCCAGAGCCGCAGACTCACACCGTGGACGGTGTGGCTGGGCTGCCGGTGCCCCGGCCTCCACGCCCAAGAGCTCCTGCCCCCGCTGCCAGCTCCAGCCCTGGCATCCAGAGAAAGACCTCCATTCCGGCCATTGGTCGTTGCTGTTGCACATAGCAACAGCAGTAGCACTAAAAGAAATGAATGGAGGAATGAATTATTAATGCTTGCAAAAGAAATTTCCAACTCTCTTTGTATTCTCTCATTAGCTGTGTCTCTCATGCCACGGCACTGATTTTATTACACAGCAGATCAAGGCACAAGGCACACATGGCCACATCGGATTGGGCCAGTTAATGAGAGGGAGGAAAACTATAAACTGTTGGTAGTTTATTGACGGCGCCACTTGGTGTGGTAATGCTGTGTGCCTTACTCCCTGGGCTGCCACGCACACCTGGCTTCCTTTTGTTATCAAGGCCCATGGTTGCTGCAAAAAATGCTGCTGATCTGATGCTGAAGGGGGCACATAGAGATCCCTGCCTAGGTCCTGGTCCAGTTTCCTCTCAAAGAAGAGAACTAGGAAAATCGGGGTGGTGGACATTATTTCATTAGTAAACCAACTCTTCCGTCTTTGGGCACCCAGGAGGCCCCATACAGCCTGTACAGCACACACATTTGTGCACCCCTGTGCACACACACGCACACATCTGATGAGGACCCAGGAAACACATTCGCATTTATGGGTACCCACTCTTAGACACACACTTGCACACACGCAGTGATGCTCTCCTGCCATTCGGTCTCAGACGGGCCAGGGGTGGGTGCTACTCCTCTGGGCTGTTCCCTTCAAACAAAGCATTCTAATTCAGAAACTACCCCAGCTCTAGGAAAATAATCTTCAGATTAGTTTGTCTGCCTGCCAGGAACACTGGGCCATGCCCAGTTTTTAAAAAGCCCCTCATTTCAGGAAATGCTTGGAGCCTCTAGGTGTTCTAAATCCCCCGGGAAGGTGCTGCTGCAGTGTTCTGAGACCCTCATTGCTGCTTGCAGCTCTCAGGGTGTGTGTGTGTGTGTGTGTGTGTGTCTGTGTCTGCGTCTGCGTCTGTGTCTGTGTCTGTGTCTGTGTCTGTCCCTCAGCCTCCTGCTTGCTAGCTGTGTCACCAGGAGCAAATTACTTAACCTCTCTGTGCCTCATTTTCCTCATTTGTAAGTTGTGGGTAATCATAGTACTGCCCTCAGAGGGTTGTCATTAGGATGAAGTCAGATGACATGTGTGCCTCATTTAATGGAGCAGCTGGTAGATAGTAAATGCTCCACAAATACCAATGCCGTCACTATTATTCCTAGTCCCACACTCATCTGCGCTCGCACATACACACATACACACACACACTCACCACACACACACACACACAGAAGTAGAGGCAGTGCTCAAGATCTGACCTTCCATTTGGATGGCTCGCTCCTCCATGGTTTTGAAAGCATTTTGATAACCAGTTTCTCCTTTTTGCCTCATAAGAACTTGTGAGTTAAGAAGGCTGGAATTACTGGTCGCATTTAAAAAGAGAAAAGAGGAAGTAAAGGTGCACAAAGACCATAAGACATGCCTGCAAAAGTTCACTGCAGTGTACTTACAACCACACACATGCGCACACACATAGAAATGATCAAAAAAGCCAGCAGTTGAAGAGCATAAATGAAGACAGTGCTTTGCAACATGGGATTGTTAAGAAATCACAACTGCAAGTTTCCAGTGACATGGGAGATGCCTCGTCTCTAAGGTTCAGTGAGAAAAGGTGACACACTGGACACACAGGTAGAGTTTTATTACACAACCAAGGGGAGGAAATAGGTCAAAATATTAACTTCATTCCCAAGGAAAGGTTATATTTGCCTGCTGTTTTCCCCTTTACACTGTTAAATGTTTGCCAAAATTTTCATAATGGGGCTATATTCTTTTTATAATTAAATAAGAGAAATAAGCTGTTGAGCTGCTATGAATCTCTGAGTGCACGCAGCTGGCTGTCGCCCTGCCTTCTTTGATCTCCCGCCCCCACCCACAGTCTGGCTGCGTCCCCTCCCCCAGGCTCACTTCCTCCCCGGTTCCTCCTGCTGCCCCACCCTGGCCCAGAGCCCCAGAACAGGTGAGAGCACCTTCCCTTGCTCACTGGACCCTCCCCTCTGGGGAGGTCGTCAGCATGGGGTGGCTTGCTCTTGGAGGAGTTTGTCACATTGTATTTTGTTTTACATTTTCAGGCAGTGATTGAGGTATTGCGTTCCTGATGAAGTTGCTCAAATCCCCACCCAAACCTCCTCTGCCAAAGCCAGGAGAGCTCCGTGGAAGAGACACTCACGGCCCAGCTGAGCCAGGGCTCCAGGTGGCTCCTCAGCCAGAGAAGGCTTCAGGCTCATTTCCTCTGGGTGAGCCCTTAGATTAACTTCCTTCTTCCTGGTGAGATTGTTTAACAGGGCAGGGAGCATTTACGGTAAGCTCTTTGAAGGAGGGCAGAGCCCAGGCAGAGCCTGGAGGAACTGGCCCACCTGAGGTGCCTGTGAGCTACTTAGTTCCCCCCTCTGGGCCTGCTGCATCTGGAGGATCCATCGGGGAGGCCCCAACCCATCAAGGACCCAGAAGTCGGACGCAGCTGGTCCAGGGTGGTGGTTGGCTGGGTCAGGGACGCAAGGCACCAGCTGGGCCATCTCGCCTTCTCCACTGAAGCAGGGACGTGGGAGCCGTAGCCCTCAGGTATGTTTCCACCAGAATGGAAAAGGTTACACCTCTGGGTCCACATTATTGAGAGAAAGAAAAATGGAGATGGGGTGGGTAGAAAATCAGGAGTGAAAGGGCCTGAGAGGCATGAAAGGAGAGGAAGAAGGAAACCACAGAATTAAAGAGATTTCTGAGATCAGACTCAGGAAGGCAACAGATGTCATCTGAGGGGCCAAGTCTGATCAGTTAATAGTGCACCATGGTGAGGATTCTGAGGTTGGGTTCAGGCTCTGTGCAAAGACATGCTATGACTGATTAGTTATGTCTGCAATGGGCACAAGAATGCCGGGGATTTCATATCCCACATTGCATGCTTTTTTTCCCTTAACAGCAGGGACTCCTTGACATTTATTCATTCGTTCACTCATCTTTTCATTCAAGAAACGGATTTAAGCATCAACTATGAGCCACACAAATACTTGAAAAAAGAGTGACAAAAGAAGGAGTGTTGTTCTTTGTCCCAACACTCATTTCCCTCTGAAAATAATCATCTGAAAAGCTACAACAAAGGAGCTTGGTCTTGAGAGATTTTCTAGCTGTGTAGTGTCAGCCTAGTCCTTTCCTTTTGCTAAGCCTCAATTTTCTCATCTGTAAAATGGGAGTGATAGTCCACATCGCCCCTATCTTTCCCTGTAATTCTCATTGTCTAGGCATCTAGGATAACAATCACTAAACATAAAATAGCACCTACTATGTACCTAGCCAGGCTCGCTGCGAAGTACTCTCTATGTAATAACACATTTACTCCTCATTTCACCTCTATGAGGAAGGCACCATTAGGACTCCCATTTTACAAATAGGGAAATGAGGCACTAAGGGATTAAACAGCTTGCCCGGGGACTGTGGCTGCAGTTTGTGCTCCCTACCACTGCCTCAGTGATGTATTCTGAGTCCACAGCTGGAATAGAGCTGGTGCAAAAATATTCTTCTAGATGATTCATTCAATGAGCGTTAACTGAGCCCTTCCTGCTTTTGAGGTACAAGGGTACAATGACTAATAGGACAACAAAACTGATACGGTTCTAGCTGGAAAGTGAAAGAGAATTTGCATAGATAGTTGTTGCAAAATAGTTTTGACATGTGTAAGGAGACAGCCCAGGAATCAGAACAGACTTCTCTGAGGTTAAATTGCCAAGAAATGCTAGTGGGATCAGAGGGGAGGGGAGGGGGGCATCTGGCCCACAGCTGAATCTAAGAGAAGGGCTGGAGAGGGAGGGGAGGAGGAGAGGGCAGTTCTGCACCGAGGGCAAAGGCTGGTGGTCATGCCCAGGCCGAGCACATCTGTGAGGAGAGTTTGACTTTGCCCAGTGTTGGCTCAAGTCTATCCATCTGTCTGTCTGCTTTAGTGAATCTGCCAGCCTCCCACACAAGGCTGACCACTGCCCACCTGAAGCCACACCAGGCTGGCCAGTGTTAGACAGGCAGCGCTCATCCAGGAGAAGCAGCTGCCACTGGGGTTTCTGTCTTGTGGTCAGTGTTTACACATCTTTTTCTGAGCTCAACTCCTGGGCACCTCCATTCCACTAAGAATTTGGGAGACTGCAGGGCCAAGGGGTGTTTCCTGGGGTGGGGGATGCTTAAAGCCATCATTTGCCAGTACTTCCCTGAGCTGGGCAGCTGCTCCTCCTCAGACGAGACCAGCCCGTCTAATACTGGCAGGCCTGGTACAGCTTCCGGGGGGCTGGGTGAGGGTGGCAGCCTCCATCCCACCTGGACTCCCACAGGACAGGCCCCCTGGAGAGGGGCAGGCACTTCCTGTGGTCGGTACCAACACCTTGCTCTGGGAGGCTCTGGGAAGCAGGAGTGGGAATACCGAGGTTTGCACCCCAAGGGCATGACCTGGGGAGAGGAAGATGTCAAGGTCATGGGCACAGCACTGCCTTTGGAGGTTGAATCCCAGCCCCTCTTTCCCCTAGCTGCGTTTGTTGGTGGCTCACCTGTCTGAGCCCCCTTACCTCAGAAGAATGGGGACATTCTTAACTTCCTTGGAGTTTTGACTGAAGTGAATTTGAGAAACACAAAGTAAAGTGCCTATCAGGATGCCTGGCACCGAGTAGGTGCAGAGTAAGGGTAGAGCTGTCATGAAAGCTGAGCACCACCTCATGCTGGGCGCTCACATCGTACTGGGCATTTAGATGTGATTACATGCTGTCTCAGGAGCTCACAGTCTGCCAGGTGCAATAGTAGCTAGATGACAGAGTAAAAGGCAGGGATGGGAATGCTGAGAGAGAGATGTGTACAAGTTCTGTGTGATCACTACAAACAACCGTCATAACGGTAGGCGACTCGTATGTAGGGTTGACTGTGTCTAGAATGGTGTCAAGAGCTTTACATGGATTATCTCATTTAAATATAACAACTTTGCATGGTAGGTCTTACTATCCCCATTTTAAGATGAAGAGCTGAGGTCTAAGGAGATGAGATAACCTGGCCAAACTGGCTGGGCCATGACCGGTGGAGAGAGGCTTTGCACCTGGGTCCAGGGTCCAGGGTCCACACGCTTTGTCTCCACGTCCCTCCCACATGCATGCATTGAGGAGAGAGCAACAGAGGCCCCAGCAGAGAGACCTCACAAAGGATGTGGTATTGCACAAAATCCTGCATCCCCCAGGAGAGAGAGGGCAGCCCTGGTGGAGAAAACCACATGATCAGAGGCCTGGAGGAGGGAGCTGGGAGTCCACAGGAGGGCGAGCGAGAGAGGCTGGGAGCAGGCACACTGCAGGGGCCTCGATCACTCTGCAGACACAGCTGGTTCTACATTAGAGGAATATTCTGGTGAAAATGTCAGGACCAAAGTGGCTTCTGGAAGGGAAGCCAACAAGAGACCGTTGGCTAAAGACACAGAGAAAAGGCCAAGCTTTGGCCTGAATTTTTAGGCCTCTGCAGATGCTAAAGTGTCCAAGCCTCAGGAGGGATGAGGCAGGATGGGAATCTGAGTCTTTCTCACAGATGTAACTAGGGTTTGAAATGGGAAAGTCCTTGTGGGTCAGGTAGTACTCAATTCTGAGTACTCTTGACAAAAACGAGCTCAAACCAGCCTCACAAATAAAGGACCCGTGTTGGCTCATGTAATGGAAAAGCCGAGAGATGATCTCACTTCAGGCAAGGCTTGATCTAGGCGCTCAAATGACACTCCCAGGACTCGATCCCTAAGATTCTTCCCTTCTTCTCAGGAGGAAGAGTGGAGGGCACAGGGCCACCCCCAAGGGACAGGACAAGGGGCCTGCTTCATCAGCTGTCGGTGCATTCTTGCACTTAATCTGCATGCTGGTAGGGATTGTGTTGGCCATGGACAGACAAGGAAACTGAGGCTGAGAGAGGACTGTGTCCACAGTCCCATGGCAGAACCCGATGGGGCTCTGAAGCACCCACTCTTAATCACCATGTCATACAGACTCACAGTGCCCCGGTCAGGTGAGGCCTCTGCAAACCTGAAGGTGCAAATATGGTTAGAGCTGCCGTGGACTGGGGCCTTCTGGGTGCCAGGCACTGAGCAAAGCACCTTCGGGTGATACTCCAGTCAGGTAAACAGGGAGGAAGGTCGTTCTAACCCCCAACACGAGGACCAAGGACGGGCAGCTGAGCCCTGCAAAGCAGGCAGGGCCCTTCATTTACGTACTGTCTACAGGCTTTGCCGCTACGGTGGCTGAGTTGCGTATGGTGACGGAGAACATGGGGCCCCACAAAGCACAAAATACTTCCTTTCTGCTCCCTTCCAGAAAACTGCCAAGCCCTGGTCCAGAGGAGCGGGACAAAGTGGGTTTGTCTCTGGGATCTTTTCTCCCTCTGACTCTGACCAGCTGTGAGATCTGACCTCTTTGGGCCTCAGTTTCCCCAGATTCCTCACTGAGCTGCTATAGGATTAAACTAGTTAAAATCAGGAAGCATCTCAGGGCAGCACCCGGCACATACATTTGTTGTCTTGTTCTAGGAAACAGCCTAGGAACTGGGGGAGTAAAGCCCTCAGAATCCTGCCCCCCTGATATCTTCTCACATCTTCGGCAGCACAGCCCTGTGTGGCCCAGTCATTCTACATTGGCCAGAGCTAGAGAAAACCATTAAAATCAATAAATAAAATTAAAACAGGACATAATGGAAGTAATGGGTTTATTCCCTCTGAAATAAATGTCACTGGAACAAATTGTTTTAGCCACCAGCCTTACTGTCTATGGATATATTCATTGTTTATCTCCCTCTGTATTGGTGATGTGATCAATAATTGCCTATACATACTGGGAGTTTACAAGAAGGACCATTTAGAGCGAAAGGCGCCTCAGTTACTGTGATTACTTCACACAGGCCCGCGTCGCGATGGTCAGTGTTCAGAACAGCCTGGTGGGGTGGGGGGCAATTGGAAACTCAGGGTAGGGCAGCTGGGTCTGGGCAGGGTTAAATGCATCCGTTGGTTCCGGGCAGACCTCTTAGCTCTGCTCTGACTCAAGTGTGTGTATGCGGGCAACCCCTTGTGAGTGCTTATGTGAGTCAGTATGTCTGTCACCTTCAGTCTTAGTGTTGCTGCTGCCTTTCTGTTCTCTTCATGTCTTCCTCTGTCTTATCTCTTCCCCTCTTCACTTTGGTCTCTACCATTAGATTATCGTGTTCTGCCTCACCTCTGAGCCTCTGCACATGCTGTTCCCTCTGCCTGGAGCACTTCCCAGGAGAACTTTATCTGCCTAGGTGTCACCTCCTCCAGGAAGTCTTCACTGACAGCTCCCCGAGCTGGGAGGTCCCCTGAGGGAGCCCCACAAGAGCACCTATCCCACTGCACTGTGGCCATCCACGCGGACTGGTCCCTACCCCCTTACACTTGTATTTCTAGAAGGGGAGAACCTTATAGGTTCTATGATGCATCCCCCCACTAGCATTGTGATGGCACAGAGGAGAGTCTCAGGAAATATTTTAGGATAAATAATTGAGTTGAATTTTTTTTTAAATGTCACAGAGATCCCCAAGTAACTCCCTTCTCAGCGCATGAC